ACGTTGACGACAAAAGTCTGCTCCTTCGCAATATAGACCACATCCCTATAATTATGAGTATAGGAAGCGTCTGTTATGCTGCGCGCGACGCTCAGCATGTGTTAGTTATTGCAGTATCCAACGCGAATTTCAATTGTCAAACGATGCCGTTCAAATTAAATTAGCCCCAAAAGTTTGTGCGCGGCGTATCAAATATTCGATTATCCTGCACGCGCGCAATGACAAATTACGATGAAAAATTGCAACTTTTTAACAACAAAATTAATCCAATATCTAATTTTTAATTAATCGATTAAAATATTCTTTTCGTTTAGTTGCAAATGTTAACGGTTTAAGCAGGGAAATTAATCGTGCGTGGTGTAACACTAACCGCGGCGAAATTCTTGTTTTTCTTCAAATTTTCGAAATTTTCAAGTCTCGAAAAAAATTGTAAGTGAAAAAGTTTTGAAATTTTCTAAAAACTACATTTCTCCGTGTTTCAAACGATTTTAGTCATTTTGAGCAATAAAAATTTTTCACTTTTTTTGGTAATTACCTAATTAGTAATTATCCAATAGTGATTGTCGATGTTAAAACTTTTTTGTACAAAAAGTTTTACTCCTTGATAAGATAAACATTTTAGGTTATTTTCCAGCCTTCACGTCGTTCACAACTAAAGATATTTGGCAAACTAGAAAGGTGGTACCAAAGGTGGTAAAAAGTGGTAAAAAGTGGTGTTTCTGTCGAGATACAAAATTGGTGACAAGTCTAATTTTTTGTTGCAGGGGGTTTTCTAACTTATTTCCCGGTTTCTAAATCCTTTTTGAACATTTAAATCCAACGGAAACCCCTTTAAAAACGACCCTTTTCCCCCCTTTCTATATGTATTATTGATTATGATATTATGTGTGATATTATTGTTTCTGTTAATCCCTACTGTTTTTTTTGCCTACTGTTTTATTGACTTTATAAATTTTTGTTTTGTTTTTATCGCTTTGTTTTATTGGTTCCCAATGGGTATTAATTTCTACCCGTTTTTATTGCCCAAAGATATTATTTGGGTACTGAAAATTTTTTTTTTAAGGTATTATTGCACTGATTTTTTATTGGGACTGAATTATTGTTTCTGTTTTTATTGCTTCTGATATTATTGTACTGATATTATTGCTATTATATTATTGCTACTGTTTTATTGATACTGTATTTATCGTACTGTATTATTAATTTTTATATTATTGCCCACTGTTTTTATTTTTTTCTGATATTATCGCAATGTTTTATTTCCTTTTGTTTTGTTTAAAGTTTTTTTCGCTTCTGGGTATTATTTTTAATGATATCATCGCCCCACTGATTTTTTTTGGTTACTGATATTATTGCTACTGATATTATTGATACTGATATTATCGCTACTGATATTATTGCTAATGATATTATTGCTACTGATATTATTGCTACTGATATTAATGCTACTGATATTTTTGATACTGATATTATTGCTACTGATATTTTTGATACTGATATTATTGCTACTGATATTATTGATACTGATATTATTGATACTGATATTATCGCTACTGATATTATTGATACTGATATTATTGCTACTGATATTATTAATACTGATATTATTGCTACTGATATTATCGCTACTGATATTATTGATACTGATATTATCGCTACTAATATTATTAATACTGGTATTATTGCTACTGATATTATTGCTACTGATATTATTGATACTGATATTATTGCTACTGATATTATTGCTACTGATATTATCGCTACTGATATTATTGATACTGATATTATCGCTACTAATATTATTAATACTGGTATTATTGCTACTGATATTATTGCTACTGATATTATTAATACTAATATTATTGCTACTGATATTATTGATACTGATATTATCGCTACTGATTTATTGCTACTGATATTATTGATACTGATATTATCGCTACTGATATTATTGATACTGATATTATCGCTACTGATATTATTGCTACTGATATTATTGATACTGATATTATCGCTACTGATATTATCGCTACTGATATTATTGCTACTGATATTATTGATCTGATATTATCGCTACTGATATTATTGATACTGATATTATTGCTACTGATATTATTGTTACTGATATTATTGATACTGATATTATTGCTACTGATATTATTGATACTGATATTATCGCTACTGGATATTATTGCTACTGATATTATTGATACTGATATTATCGCTACTGATATTATTGAAACTGATATTATCGTAATGATTTTTTTGATACTGAAAATTTTTTGCTACTGATATTTTTGTACTGTTTTTATTTTTTAATTTAATTTTTAACGCCCCCTGAATTATTGATACAGTTTTTTGTAACTTTTTATTTTTTTCTACTGATTTTATTGCCCTTTTGTATTTTTGGTATGTTTTTAAATTGGGATGTTTTTTTTGTTTCTGAAAATTATTGGTATGATATTATTGATACTGTTTTTTCGCCTTTAATTTTTTTTAATTTTTTTGGTTTTTTTTTGGGTTTTGAATTTTTTTTGCTACTGATATTTTTGATACTGAATTATTGCTAGGTTATTATTGCTCTGTTTTTATTGACCCCTTTTTTATTTTTGTTTTGATATTTTTGTACTGTTTTTTTGCTAAGGGTTTTTATTGCCCATGATATTTTGCTTCGGTTTTTTTTGATTTCTGATTTATTGCTAATGTTAAATTTTTGTACTGATATTATTGCTACTGATATTATTGCTACTGTTATTATTGCTACTGATATTTTTGATACTGATATTATTGCTACTGATATTTTTGATACTGATATTATTGCTACTGTATTTTTTGATACTGATATTATTGCTACTGTATTATTGATTACTGATATTATTGATATGATATTATCGCTACTGATATTATTGCTACTGATATTATTGCTACTGATATTATTGATACTGATATTATTGCTACTGATATTATTGATACTGATATTATTGCTACTGATATTATTGCTACTGATATTATTGCTACTGATATTATTGCTACTGATATTATTGCTACTGATATTTTTGATACTGATATTATTGCTATGATATTTTGATACTGATATTATTGCTACTGATATTATTGATACTGATATTATCGCTACTGATATTATTGCTATGATATTATTGATACTGATATTATCGCTACTGATATTATTGCTACTGATATTATTGATACTGATATATTGATACTGATATTATTGATACTGATATTATCGATACTGATATTATTGATACTGATATTATTGCTACTGATATTATTGCTACTGATATTATCGCTACTGATATTATTGCTACTGATTTTATTTATACTGATATTATTGCTACTGATATTATTGCTACTGTACCACTTCACAATATCTTACATCCTAACTATCCACTTACTCCAGGAGCCCACATGAACAATTGATGAACAGCAACTTGCCAATATGGTGGTCCCTCGACAACCTGTTTCACTTCTGTCTCTGCCTGTTGGGATTTTCAGTTGTGCCCAACTACTTCACCTGGCATACTCAGTCGGAATGTCTCCAAACTCAACAGACCAAGTCACGTGTACTTATATTTTGTGGGAACATTCGATTTGTTTTCTTGTTTTTGTGTCAAAGAATTTCCCTATTAGGGTTGTCAGATGACATAACTACGAAACTCACGTCACAGCGAAACTTGACTGATTGTTTAACTTAAAGATTATAATAAACCACGTAACTCCACTTAAAGGTGGTCACGTGATTTGTGATCTTACAATCCTTAAACTTGACATTTACAGGTAATTTGTTTATTTGGACGGTTAAAAGAGGATGTGTTGCTGTGGTTACTGTGTGTCTTCCTGCACTTTATTGGAACTTTCTTCTGAAAGAAAAGCTGGTATGTAGTGTTCCATATTAGATAAAAACATAATCTCATTGATGATATTCGCTGAAACAATCCTATCTCATACTTATCTCAACCTAATGGTAAAAAACGTTTTACTTTTTCAGGCGATGTTTTGACGTTTAGAGATGACAGCACAGTTAATCCGGGATTCTGATTTTCCAGGTCCTCGGTGCTCTCAAGTACATAGTAAGTAGGATAAATTATAACTTTAGGTGCTCTCAAGTACATAGTAAGTAGGATAAATATAAATTATTAGGTGCTCAGATTCTACTTGGAAATAATTCTAAATTGTTTATAAATATAAATTTGTAAGGTTAAAAATGATAATTGTTTGTTTGTTCAACGAGATTTTTATTATATCAAAACGTATAAATTGACTTGAGTAACGTAACCTTGTTAAATCCAGTGACTGAATAAAACTCAATAAATAGTCCGAAAACCTCCATTTTCTAGATATTGGGTGTGCTAATACCACCATTTCTCAGATATTGGGTGGTGCTAACACCACCATTTTCTATAGATTGGGTGTGCTAACACCACATTTTTCTAGATATTGGGTGTGCTACACCAACCATTTTCTAGATATTGGGTGTGCTAACACCACCATTTCTCAGATATTGGGTGTGCTAACACCACCATTTTCTAGATATTGGGTGTGCTAACACCACCATTTTCTAGATATTGGGTGTGCTAACACCACATTTTCTAGATATTGGGTGTGCTAACACCACCATTTTCTAGATATTGGGGTGTGCTAACACCACCATTTTCTAGATATTGGGTGTGCTAACACCACCATTTTCTAGATATTGGGTGTGCTAACACCACCATTTCTCAGATATTGGGTGTGCTAACACCACCATTTTCTAGATATTGGGTGTGCTAACACCACCTTTTTCTAGATATTGGGTGTGCTAACACCACCATTTTCTAGATATTGGGTGTGCTAAACCACCATTTCTAGATATTGGGTGTGCTACCGTGGATGATATACTGTTCGACACAGAACGTAAAGCGATTGAGTTACAAGATTGTCCTTCTTCAGATGTCACTCTCATTTAGCGTCACCTTCTGTCTTCTATTGGAATCGTCAACACGTCTCCTGGGTAGTTATTTATGGCACGTGGAATTTTTCCTTTCTGATACTTATTGCCCATGCCAAACTTTAATATGTTATAATCACGGAACTTCCCTAAAGCAATCTTGAACCAGGACAAGTCTAATAATAGTAATATTAATAAAGGTATGGTAGTGATATAAGGCTTAGGAAGAATTCGTCATTTCAATACTCACCCACTACCAGTACCTATATTATGTTGTTAACTGGTACACTAATACATACTCAATGAATTGACTATGGTTCATTGCCCAACTATTTCAAAACGATATTCTATATATTTCTCAGAATATTCTGTCTTAGATTTAAGTGTTCATTATAACAAACAGACATTCTTGGTTTGTTCTACCTTTTATTTATAACCGCTCGCCATTATTTATCTATAAAATGGATAATACAGTTTCAATAATGGTATACTGGCGTCTACTACAAGGTCAAGGCTGCTCTTAAGAATAGGATGACCACCGTAGTCCGCAACTCAGGCACTCTCACGAGCACCACATTATTATGCCAATAAACCGGGTATACTATTAGCGATGCTGTACTGGGAATATTTTGGCGATAAAGTTATTATACTGACGTAAAACTTAAAAGCATTAACGACAATTATTACAGGTGCACAAACATATTGTTTCTAAGAGAATAATGGAACCATTTACTTTCTCTCAACGTATACAAGGGGCACTACCTTTAATGGCACCATTTACCAAGAAGCCTGACTACTAAGGGTAGACATTTTGGTAGACATTAGGGTAGACATTAGGGTAAGACATTTGGGAAGACATTAGGGTACACATTAGGGTAGACAATTAGAGTAGACATTAGGGTAGACATTAGGGTAGACATTAGAGTAGACATTAGGGTAGACATTAGGGAAGTCATTAGAGTAAACATTAGGGTGGACATTAGAGTAGACAATAGGTTAGACATTAGGGAAGACCATTAGAGTAAACATTAGGGTATACATTAGGGAAGACATTAGAGTAAACATTTAGGGTAGACATTAGGGTAAACATGTAAGGTAGAAATTAGGGTAGACATTAGAGATAAACATTAGGGTAGAAATTAGGGTAGACATTATGGTCGACATTAGGGTAGACTTTAGGGTAGAAATTAGGGTAGACATTAGGGAAGACATTAGAGTAGACATTAGGGTAGACATTAGGGTAAACATTATAGTATACATTTTACCAAAACCCATAATCATGGGTAGAGTGGACCGCTGCCAGTGTCTCTCATTTCCCAAACCAAAGGAAAGATATTAATTTGATTGACCGTTCTCAAATGCAAAATGATACCGAGAATGGAAATCGGTCGCTCGCTTTTCCATCATTCACGGCTTACGATTTGTAATAATTTCGATTTGATTACATGCATATCAGATGCTTGTAAAAATCTCTTTGGGTTGGCGTTCGGGGGTCGTACCTAGTATTTCGGGGTAAGGGTGGTAGTTATCATTATTGCATTAGCTGAAGTTAATTGAATCTTTATTGCCGAGGTACTGCTGCCCTTAGGTTAGTTCCTTCCCCCTTTAATCTATTACAATGTAAATATGAATGGAAAAAGCGAGCGACCGATTTCATTCTCGGTATCATTTTGCATTTGAGAACGGTCAATCAAATTAATATCATTTCCTTTTGTTTGGGAAAGGAGAGACACTGGGCAGCGGCCCGTCTACCATGAATTATGGGTTTTGGTAAAAATATCTCTCTTTTTGATTATCATGTCCTGGGTACTTTATAAAGTCGAATATAAACTGAGATCTCCATGATAATAAGGAGGAAGTTTCAACGATTTCGAATTTTTCCTTAAAAACATTTCATGTGTTTATGTAAGCATATCGGTCCATCCACTGACTCTGAATATACCAACTTAATACTCATTTGCAAGTTGACATTAAAATTCATATATATTGACATTAAACTTGTCGTGGCAAAGCAGAATTTGTTGGAATCACGAATGGAGCAAAATCTCTCCACCTTTCGCACGTGCAAACTTTGAGCGGACGTTGCATGCGCATCCAACATTGAATCGTCCGTAAATTTTTGCATGTAATTGTTTTATATATAGTTTGATAAGCATGCAAAGTTTCAAAGTATTTCAAGAAGAACTGTAATCACAACGGCACTCTAAAGTTGACAGAAAATGACGAAAACAGCAATTTTCAGTGATTTTAGCAATTTTCTATCAATTTGGGCGTGTCCCCACGTGTGCAACTTTTCGATTTTCAACTTTTAAAACTAGCCTAATGCACAATTTATACCTATAGAAGCAGAACTGAGCTCCACAACCCAAGGCATGGCCCAACACCAAAGAATACTAAATCGCAAAATTGACGTTTTTTATAAAATAATTCTTCAAAAAAAGCACAAACTTCAATGACAAATATCTTTATGAAGGAGGCAAGCTAGAAAAACTTTCCGGTAGATTTTCAGAATGCTTGAACAATTATCTAAGGTGATAATTTCCCTCAGATTTTGAATAAAATTACTCCTTAATGGTTAAATTAATTTTAAAAGTTATTACTTTTGTCAAAAATCAAGTTTTAAAACGGTTAACTTGATGGACGTCATCAAGGGTGGTTTATGACGTCAAATAAATTTTTTATACAATGTAAACTAAAGTGTAAACAATTATTTGCAAGACCTGTGGTCGGAAATGGCTGTATCTTTTATACTTTTGAATTTATGGACACTTAAATATATGGCTACAATTGACTGCAAAGCGCTATCGCCTGAATATATATGTATATCTATCTATGACCCGACAATCTGTCGTAAAACAGGGGTTCTAGAAAACCCAATTTCCCGATGCTCCTGAAACCTGAAACTTTTTTTGCAGTCAATTTGGTCAACGTCTAGACGCCCTGAAAAATTTCAAATCTCTAACTCAATTTTAACATGGTTTTTAGGACACCTGAATATGGCGATTTTGGGTTTTTTAACCGAATTTCGTATAACAGTGCTGGTGAGTATTTTATGCAATTTCTTAAAAATCTGAACATAACTAATTTTTATTCCTGTCATCTTTGACATCAAATTAGAATGTTTTGAACTAAAAATAAATCTGTCTGAACGACTTCCGATGAGTCTTAATGCCTGGAAAACTCCTGCCGGAGGCGGCGGCCTTCGGCCGCCGCCTCCGGCCGGAGTGCACGCTTCGCGTGCACAAAAGAGGCTTGTAACGTGTACCAAAGGGGGTATAATAGTAAAAGGGGTATAATAGTAAATGGGGAACATAGTATTCCCACAATAAATGCAACGGTCGTGCTTGCCAGCACTGTGATAAAGGTAGACATTAGGGTAGACATTAGGGTAGACATTAGGAAAGAAATTAGGGTAGACATTAGTGTAGGTTTGGATATATGAAGTGGCCCGACGGTCCTAGTGCCCTACGTTGATGGGAAGTGATGGGCACTTCAAAGTCTTGGCCAGCTCATCTGCTTTTTCATAACCCCACAATCTGATGTGTGCAGCTATCCATCGGATCTCTAGATTGTTGGTGGATTCGAGTGCATTGAGGGGGTCATAACAGTCTCTAGTAGTTCTACTCCTCTTGTTGGCATAAGTTGAGAGATATTCGCAATCTTCGAAGATGGCGGTGAGCTCTATTTGATAAACAGTGCAATAATCAGGAAGCTTGAATGATCTTTCCTCTATAAATGTAGTGTTGTTGTTGTCAGTGGTGATGATATAGCCAGCCCCGCTACCTGAGTATGTGCGTGACCCGTCTGTATACTTATAGCAGGTGATCGTCTCAATGGAGATGTTGTCGATGGTGTTTTGAAGTGAATTTATATTTTCAATGTTGTCAGCTCCAGGAGTGGTGACTGTTCAACATGTTCATAACTGTGGCATGTTGTGCGAGCTAACCTGATAACCAATGGTAGCTCTACGCACCAGCTTAATAAGCTGCTAGTTATACTACTACTAGAATTAAAGTCTAGGAATAACGTCAATGGTGAACGCCCCCGTGTCGTCCAGGAGGTTTTTAAGGGCTATTAGATGCAGAGTAACTGGTCGAAGCTGTAGCGTCTCTTTTACCACAGGCTAGTAGTAGTTAAGTTGTAAAATAACGTTGTTTTACTAATAGAAATGTGCAGTAAAAGTTTATTGACGCATTAATATGGTAATAAGTCATGTCGCTCAATTTAGCATACAAAATCAAATTTTGTTACATGTTGCATGATGCATATCCCTTTTGCGCCGGCTGGGAAAGTTTGGGGCTTCATGGTCACAAAAACCTATGGATATAACTAAAGTATTATATAAGCCACGTACCTAAGAAATCACAGCGAACAGAGAGGTCAATTTTATGTTTTATTAAAAGTATTTTGTTAAAAGAAATTTAAAAGCTTTGAAACGTGTGCGTGGGGGGGGGGAGGTACACTACACTTTTTTACACCATACATAAAAAAGGCAAAAGTGTACACACGCACGCACGCACGCACGCACGCACGCACGCACGCACGCACGCACGCACGCACGCACGCACGCACGCACACACACACACACACCACACACACACACAAAAAACCATTAATAAAACCACTTCCGATCAGCCGATTTTAAAAAACTTAATGATTCGGCTCCTTCAGAGTTCTGTCGGCACTATATCGAAAACACCAGCCCCGTAACTCTTATTGTTTTCTTGATTAGGCCGCTCGGAAATCACACGCAAACGAACGAACACACACACAGTACACACACACACATCTTGAGAATATTAGTATTGATATGAACGAGCCCTAGGCACATACAAATATCGTTCATGCAAAATCGATGTCATAATCTTTAGTTATTTAACTAAATATGAAAACTTAATTAACGCATTTTTCAGTTCCCAGTCAGAGTTGGTGCTTGTCTCACTGTATTGCAACCTCTGTACTGTCGCTCCAATATCCCTCATTGTCTGGAAGTTCCTGATGAGATGGCGTCGTCAGGTCAACTCTAATAGGTAACCCTCATTTTGGTAATTCATGTTAATAATGCGTACTGAAACAAAATTACTGTTAATTCTAGACTAATATTTGTTCTGTTAAAAATATTACACTGAACGAGGAAATATGTTGGTATCTGTATTTCTCTAGTACTCGTCAAGTAGTGCTGCCCTAAAAGTTAAATAAGCTCTAATCTATTTTTTTTAAATAACCTAACCAGATAATTTACAATATAACAAACTTACAGTGACCGGACCCCGATCTACAGCAGAACCTGCATCTCAAGCGTGTGCCTCCTCATCATCTGCACCTACCTGCCCTCAGACTTCATCCACATGCTCCAGCTCCTCTACCGACTGCAAATACTGCCCAACCTCAAGTGGGCGGATCAGAGGTAGAAATTGTTTTTTGGTATCAGTGAAATATTTAAATGGGACAATTTTATTGATAAATTATAATCAGGGACTATGTTCATTTCATGTTTCAGTTCTATTGATTTACAAACGTAATCCTCCAGTGACACAGAAGCACTACACAAGTTGTTACTGTCAGAAAACTTGAAGATGATTTCAGATATCTTCAAGTATATCTTTGTTGGTGAGACTGATTGTTGATTAAAAATAACTTATAAGCAACTTGTAGTTTATTGACAAAATACTTGGTGGTTCATTTTGAAACTTGTTTTATAATCAAGTACGTTTTAGCACCTTTTATCCAAACCGAACGATCAACTAAAATTAAGATTTTTGACGCGGATGGTAGATACAATTAATTGATCAATTAAGCATCTTTTTAAAATATTATTCCACCCAGGCTTGTTCCCATTATTCTTGTTGGTGTCGAAACAGTTCAGAGCCCTTCTAGCAGTTGAGGCTTACAGAAAAAGAGAGTTTCTTGTGAAACGTATTTCCCGGATTCTCAAGTGAGTTTCAAATATCGAATTCTTTATTAAAAGCAAGTTTAATATTTTTAACCAGGCGTCTAGTTACAAGCGTGGGCGATGGCATATTTTAAAGTAATATCTTAAATTTGTCCGTAGTCAGAATTATTTCTTGACATTTTGTAAGATGGTTTCAACTCAACCATTTCCTCGAATTTCTACTCGTCCACGACCGTGACACTCATCGTTTAATCCCACGTTTCAATTATTTACAAATTAACGTTGTGTCTGCTATAAGGGCTGAAGCTGGCAAAAGGAGCTCTGTTATTTCCGTGACATCTGCCGGCGGTGCTCAACGGTCCTTCTCTGTTGTCATTAACGAACACCACCTCTGTCTACACGCTCACGAGTTGAATGAACTTCGTGCTGATTTCCAGGTTGGTCACTGAATGGGAACACAAGGAAATATTTTTCATTCGTGAAATAATTTCAAGAATGTACTCCAATGGACCAATGAAGTGTGGATTATATTTACTAATACTATAGTAGGAACCCGTATAACCCTAAAATGGTTAATTTTGGGCTCTAAAACTCCTATTTCTTGGCCTATTTTTTATTTTTTCATGCTGATTTGGAGGCCATTAAAACATTTGACCAAGTCAAAAAAGTTTCAGTTGTATATCTTTTAAGGTTTTTGCGGAAATTCGCGTTAAAGTTGATGCCGTGGTGTCAGTAAAATGGTACGGATAAATATATATATATAATTATATATCGTCTCACTTTATATATAGTAAGATGGGCGGATTATAAAATTTTATGACTACCAGTCCACAATTTATCATTATCCTTACCTACCATACATCAGTCCATCGGTTCTGCAGTGATGTGTGACACTTTATCTTGTAATTCTAATATGATGTGTGACACTGTATCTTGTAATTCTAATATGATGTGTGACACTGTATCTTGTAATTCTAATATGATTCGATTTCATGGTTTACGATGAAATACCTTATCGGACCTTATTTGGACGGACATTACTTGAACGCTGGAGGCCCTAACGTTCATCTTAATGTCCGTTCAAATAAAGTCCGTTCAATTAATGTTTGTCCAAGTTAAAGTCCGTTGAAATTTTTTCAAAAATTTTTCCATTTCGAACTTTTTGTCCAGAATATGACAACTTTTTAATTTCAGTCAATTTCAATAACTATCATTAAACTAAACTATATCGTTGAATCAATAAAAACAAGGTATTTTTCTTGCTTACTGTATGAAAAATGGATTTAAAAATCATTTGCTAAAATTTAAAAAACGTCAAAAAAAAGATGAAAAAAATTCGGATTTTTGATGGTTTTAAACGCCTTCTAGCGTTCATATTAATGTCCGTTCATAATTATGTCCGTTCAAGTAATGTCCGTCCAAATAAGGTCCGATAAGGTATTCAAAAACAATGAATAAACACCCCTATTCCAGCAGGAGTGTCTGCCAAATCAGTCTTGTCTTGTGAAAAGTAGCCTGGAGTTGGTGAAGATCCCCCTGGATTGTGACTACACGACTGATTATACTGATCATGTGAATAGCGTTGCTCGAATGGCGGATTGTAATGCCCCTGCTATTGATTTGTCCTGTCTCAAGATAGACCTTCATCAGCTGCATACCACGTAAGATTTCAAATTTACCTTTGTTTTATTTTATTTAAAAAATATTTATGCTAATATTCTGACCGTGATCAAACAGCCAAAAAGGGTACTTTATTGACAGAATGCAAACCTATCAGCCTCCCTGTTTTTTGTTTGGGGACCGGTTTTTGGTACACCCGCCAATGTTAACAAAATCATATGATACATAACAATATAATTTTATCTAATATGAGTGAAAATGAGAGTTGAAATATTGTTAATGAGCCACACCTAATACATGTAATACATGTAATAACTACTGAGACGGGGCTTAAAGATATCGCTTTGGGAGTCTGGGATCTAAATGTGTAGAAATAAGAAGTCGTTCTATATCATGAGCCTTTTCATGGAGCACCTGAAACCGGACTGCTAAAATAATGGTTCCAAATTCAGGTTTGACGAGTTTTGTGTAGGCTGTGTCCGAGAGAAGCACACAAAATTAAAAGAATGCAAAAAGAAGAAAATCGTCAAAATAAGACCTGGTAGATTGATCAGTGACAATGATAAGAAGGATGTAGGAGTAAAGACGAAGCATGATAAGTGTACCAAGTATAAAGTTAAGGGTAAGTTGAAGCATTCCGCACAGACAGATTTTCACACTCATTCTGTCTTTAGGGAGGTTATTTTCAATCGTTGAACTCTTTTTTAGGACCTTTTTAACTTATCCGATTATTGCATGACTAATAGTAATTAGTAAACTTAGTTCGAACACTTTTTAGCGTTTGATTTTTTTTATTTGTTATTGATTCGGCCTCCAATGAACCAGGCAATATTTGTTTGTCTTTCTAATTCTATGATGATTATTCCATCATAGAATTGAATATTTCAGGTACCGTGGTTAAAACGAACGTAAATGCTGGTGACCGTGAAGGCAAGGACCGGCGAATAACCACCACATCACTTGGTCAAGTTGAGCTCTTTCAGGTTTGTGACAACTGTTACTATTTAACTATAAAATTGCAATTCATAACTCCGTAACCATGGTAACCATGGTAAATATCTTAAAGTTGGTAGACTTCAAGCTCAATAAAATCATAAACGCAATGATTTCTCTCGCAGATTGAGAATACTATAACCAACCAAGGGACAGGGCCAGTATTGGTCGATGCAGTTTAGCAACTGCGCTCTTCATAATTATATCATCTCTGAACTTCATCTCGAGTTTCTAAACTAGCATCTCTGAAATTCATATCGAGTTTCCTTATACGTACCTTGAAAGCAATGACTGAATGGTCTGAGTTTTACAACTGCACTCATAATAAATAATTAACTCTAGTTTTGATCGAGTCAGTCTAATAATGGTTTATTTTAAAGTGTTAAAGTGTTAAAGGGTTATTTAATATTTAAAGGGTTATTTAATATCTATGAGAAAACAGACATTATTTAGAAATTAAATAATTATAATAGGGCCAAGAATTTATTTCCAAAACGTTTTACTATCTGTTCATTTAGAAAAGAGTAATTTTTTTAGATTATACTCTTTCTTCATATATTTTTTCTATGTTTGCTTCTTTATTTGCTTGAGCTTCTTTATGTGAGTTTTTTTGCCAAATGTTTATTGTTTAATATCAATTGTTTTCTTGTGAATTCTTCGGTGACATCTTCGTCCAAAGTCTACATCAATTTAGCCTATATTCTGCTTGAAAAGTACCCAAAATACTAAATAGTTAATCCGTAAACATGAATGTTCACTGATATTCTAGAAGTTATCATCACCTCTCTAGTCTCTCCTTAATTCTATTTCTGGATATCTTGAGTCTTGATGTCAAAATTGAGGATTGTTGGTTAATGAAATTATAAAAATTATATCAATTTACGTTTCGAGTGAACATATTTATTCATCTTCTAAATTCAAAATGCAATAAAAGTTCCGACCGCGCCGTGCCCAAGGAAGGAACAACTATTAGTATTACATTTTTAATCTGTCTCTACACTCTAACATATCCAAACTAAAAGTAAAACTATGATCTAAGTTCCGTACCTATTATATTTGCATTCCAGATCAGCAGGGAGGTACTCCTCTCTGACAAGTAGCTTCATCACCTCACTTGTTGAATATCAGCGGGCTGTGACAGCGGCCCGGGATATATCAGGTTTTATAACTAGCGGGCTGCGCGGGCCTGCTCACAGGAGGGGCTAAGTGCAAAGAAACTGCTGCTCACTGCTGCTCACTGCTGCTCACTGCTGCTCACTGCTACTAACTGCTGCTCACTGCTGCTCACTGCTGCTCACTGCTACTAACTGCTGCTCACTGCTGCTGTCGCGCGCGCGCCCCTATGCTCACTGCTGCTATACTATAAGTATAATTATACTTATACTTATAGCCCGCTGGTGGATATATTACCAATTCGAGTGTGGCAATCCTCGAAAAAAATCACAACGTCAAAAACTAGAGGATTTTTACAATAAATTTTATTCAAGTTTAACGTGATGATACTGATACTCATTGTCTATTCATCAAATTCTTTGTCATACGTATGACCCGCCGCGCACAAAGTGCGCGGCTCCCCCTGTACCGTCAGAACGACCATAGTGAAACGACCGTGGGGGTCGCAACGTGATTCACCAAATTCTTTAACTTCATTTACAACTCTTACTGCAGCTTGTTCAAATTTCCTGTCGTTTTTTAAGTTACTGTCCACGAACAATAAACATATGTTTGCATTTACTGTGCATACTACGTAAACAATTTCTAGTCTTTCTAACGAATCTTCAATTGTGGAATAAGTTTAGTTCGCGGAATTAGACATAACACAATTGACTCAGTTTGAGTTCTTCTAAAGAAAATGGATAATTGTTAGCCACACTCTAAACTTAATTTGTTACGGGAGATAAACCATAAACTAAAATGTTGATTGAGGTAAGAGAAACAAAAAATATAACCGTTTATTCAAGGCTAAATCTAAAAGTAGAACAAATAAAATTAGCGAATATTTAGTATCGTAGAAACAGTTCATTGAGGCCCTCTAACCACAATCTCGAGGATAATCAGATTCAATATCGTCCAGTTGAATATTCATCTGTTGTCTAAGTTAATTAAGAAAACTGCCCCATGGTTAGTAGAAATGGAAAAGTGAGTATAGTCGATGTCCATAAAGCAGTCCTACATAAAGTTCTTTCATTGTTTTGATATTTTCGAACAACATCAAAGATATCCTGGCAGTGTTATATCGTTTCTCATCGTTTCGTTACAGTAGTGCGCACCTTTGTCAAAACATATCTATTTCAACACTGCCATTAACAGTCGTAATCGTAAGCTTGATCATGCATTAATATTAAATATCCGGTCATATCATCACTGAACTTGCACCACACATGACAATGCTTGTCTTGACAGGACACGATCTGATCTAAAACTGAAGCCACCCAGTGGAGGTGATCTGGAGATCACCTCACTACAATCACCCCTAGTGCCAACGTCCCACTAGCCTGTTTGATTAACATGTCAAAGTTAGTCCTATGCCAGCCCCCGGAATTCCACCACCGGAACAGAGCGAGGGGTTGTCTGGTCGACGGGGAGAGACAGTAACAGTAAAACAGTGTGTCTTTTCCACCTCCACTCGAACTGCCACCACTGTCGGTCTTCGGAATCGGGGGCTTCTGCCTGTGGGCAATTATACTGATAAGTGAAGATGTTAAGTTGTGTACAAACGTAAAACATCTAAATGAAGTTCACTGAACTTCGCCAAAAAGCATCAAATTCAAACCCAGCAACATGATATTTACATGATAGTATATTTGACCAAAACCCAGAATCGGGTAGAGAGGACCGCTTCCAGTGTCTCTCTTTCCCAAACAAAGGTAAATGATATTAATTTGAATAACCGTCCGTAAATGCAAAATGATACCAAGAATGAAATCGATCGCTCGCTTTTCCGAGTACAGCTGCCTTCAGGTTGTTCTTCTTAATATATTACAATTGTAATTGTAAATTAATGGGAAAAGCGAGCGACCGATTTCATTATCGGTATCATTTTGCATTTACGGACGGTCATTCAAATTAATATCATTTACCTTTGTTTGGGAAAGAGAGACACTGGCAGCGGTCCTCTCTACCCAATTCTGGGTTTTGGTAAAATATCATCTCTACACCAGAGAATACTAAATCACAACTAAGAAAAACTTTCGGCAAATTTTCAGAATGCTTGAACAATTATCTAACTTCAATATGTCCTCAAATTTTGAATAAAATAACTCCTTGATGGCGTAACATCGATTTGAAGTTATCACTTTGTCAAAAATCAAGTTACAAAAAACGGTCAACTCGATGACGTCATCAAGTAGTTATGATGACGCCAAATAAATGTATTCAAAATTTGAAGACACATTGAATTTAGATAATTGTTCAGGCATTCTAAAAATTTACCGGAACGTTTTCCTACCTTGCTCCTTCATAAAGATATTCGCTATTGAAGTTAGTGCTTTTTTAAAGAATAATTTTATAAAAATACAAAAGTTGTGATTTAGTATTCTATGGTGTTGGGCCATCCCTTGGTTTGTGGACCTCAGTTCTGCTTTCTATAGGTCTACATTATGCACTAGGCTAGTTTTAAAGTTGAAAATCGAAAATTTGCACACGCGGGGACACACCCAAATTGATAGAAAATTGCTAAAATCACTGAAAATTGCTATTTTCACCATTTTTATCACTTTTGAGGCCCGTTGTGATGCAAGTTCTTTTTGAAATCTTTTGAAACTTTGCATGCTTAATAAACTATATATAAAATACCAATATTCAAAAATTTATGGTGATTCAATATTGTATGCGGACGCAACGTCCGCTCAAAGTTTGCACGTGCGAAAGGTGAGAATTTTGCTCATTCGTGATTTCGAATAAATTCTGCTTTCCCACCGCCCACGACAGTTAGATGGCATTATATATGAATTTAATGCCAACTTGAATGAGTAAAAAGTTTCATATTCAGTCAGTGATCGACAGATATGCTTATCTAAACACAACGAAATATTTTCAAAGGTCAAATTTCCAAATCGTTGAAATTAGCTCCTTATTAATGAAGTTATCAGTTTACATTTCGACTTTGTAAAGTACACTGACATTATAATCAAAAAGAGGTGATATTTGGGGTCCTAATTCTGGGCACTAAAATTCTTATTCCTTGGCCTATTTTTTTTTTTTTCATGCTGATTTGAAGGCCATTGCGACATTTGACCCAGTCAAAAAAGTTTCAGTTTTATATCTTTTACGGTTTTTGCGGAACGTCGTGTTAAAGTTGATGCCGTGGTGTCAGTAAAATGTTACGGATATATATAGATATATATATATATCGCCTCGCTTTATATATAGTAAGATTTCCTTTTGTTTGGGAAAGAGAGACACTGGCAGCGGTCCACTCTACCCATGATTATGGGTCCACTCTACCCATGATTATGGGTTTTGGACTTTGGTCAAATATATATATACTTCACGACAATCTGTTGTAAAACAGGGGTTCCAGAAAACCCACTTCCCGGTACTCCTGAAACTTGAAACTTTTTTACCGTCGAATCGGGCAACATCTAGACGCCCTGCAAAATTCCAGATCTCTAACTCAATTTTAACATGGTTTCTAAGGCACCTGAATATAGCGATTTTGGGTTTTTTTACCGAATTTCGTATGTAAGTGCTGGCGCGTATTTTGCGCAAACTTATTTTGCGCAAACTTAAAATATGCCTGCTGGACTAATTTGGGGGAGTCTTAATGCCTGAAAAAGGGGGTAAATAGTATAGTGAGTATAATGGCAAGGGTCATTTTTTTTATTTCAAAATTCAAATAAACTTTACATCAATGTATTACAGTTATATTCAATAAAAAGACCACAATATCTCCTGTGAAGCAAAAACATGGAAAAAGAGAGCTAGAAAAATATTCATGATACTCAACACTACCAGACTCAGCTGGAGTGAGAAACAATTATATGTAAAAACATCAAGGTAAAATTTATTTCGGCTGAACCAAAACACGGTGGTAAGACCATAATAACATTGGTGCCGACCCTACATAAAATCATTAATAAATAATCAAGAGAACAAATTTAAATGTATACGATACCTTCTTGCTACTACTCCACAAACTTACACGACATAACAACAAAATAACATAATTAAATAATATTATAATAAAACAATCTATAATCTAGCCACTCACGTACTGCGTGACGCGCTTGTTTCGGGTTGTTTCATTTAAAAGAAAAAACGGCGCGTTCTACTGCAGGTGCGAGGGGCAAATTATAGAGAGTATGACATTCATAAAGTAAAATATATATATAATAATATTCCATGATGGGCCGTCTAATCAGGCCAGCATACGTCAGAAGACCAGCACTGTGATAAGACGGTATATCTTAAACAATAATCTCAGAATGTGTGTGTGTCTGTCTGTCCGCGTGTAATTTCATACTTTCATACTTTCATACGACAATGTAATGCATGTTTTCAAATATAATAGGCGGGTGTGGTGCGGAGTTAATAAGGGTTAATTTCTAAAACGATTTAAAGCGGTTCAATACTGGAGTGATGAGGCCTAATAATGACTTAATTATCCACGAGAAAGAACTGATTATGCGATTATGTTAAATACTATTGGATCCGAGGGGCACTCCGAATAGAATTGCTCACCTAATGCGGGTTTTGACTCAGTGGGTAAATACTCCTACCCTTTTTAACTGCGGCAGTGAAACCCCGGTCGAAGGCCGGGTTACACTAGTATATAAGTATTACACTAGTATATAGATAATCTGTACTGTATATTTCGTTATCTTACCCGTTATCTGCGCTCATAGGAGTCAAAGGAGTATCCACTGTACTAGTCTGACTGATGGGAGAAGTTATCTCCAAACAGTGAGCCCCGTCTGACAGAGACTCTTGTTTAGCCAGGAGTAGTTTCAGCTCGCTGCTATCCAGACTGGTTGTGGCCTCCCCCTCTGAGGACACTCCGTGCGGTGCCGTCGTGTTGTTGTCCACTGTGGCACAGGCTCCGAGCTGGTTGTGGGAACTTTCTGTTACTTGTGGTACCTGCAGAACACAGGGGTGGAGGAAGCGGAGGGGGGATAGGGGGCAGGGGGATAGGGGGCCTGTCAGAACACAGGGGTGGAGGAAGCGGAGGGGGGATATGGGGCAGGGGGGATAGGGGCAGGGGATAGGGGCAGGGGGATAGGGGCAGGGGGGATAGGGGCAGGGGGATAGGGGCAGGGGGCCTGGCAGAACACACAAAATGGGCGTAGTTACACAATACACTATGTAGGGGGCCGGGGGAGGGGGCAATATGTAGGGCGTGACTTAACAGTAAAACAGATGTGGAGGTGCAAATGTAGTGTGACAGGCAGGCAGGCAGGTAGGCAGGCAGTACAAATGACAAAGGTATGGAGATTTGGGGGAGATTTAAATTTAATTGAAATAAAATATCGCTAACTAACATCGAGAGTTTCTTCGTCTAGATTGCTGAGAATTGTGGAAGATATTTTGCTTCTAGCTCTGCTTCCGGCACTGCTTGTATCACTCCGCGAGGAACTTGACCTCTTGGGTAGTATTACTGATATCGTTACTCGCTCGTCAACGTCTATACAGAGGGTAAAGTTCGACATCGGGAAAGTCTTTCTGAACCTGTTGAGAACGATTATTTGGATCATATATGATATAAGGTAAATAGGATTGTGGTATGAGAGCCGAGTCAAGGAAAAAATTACACAATTTAGGGTGATTGGAATCAGTGGATAAATTAGGTAGAGGAATTTAGGTAGAGGAATTTACTGATCTGTAAGGTTTTTCTTCAACAAAGTGCACTTGTAAACTAATTTACAATCGCTACAATGTGATGCAACGGATCTATTCTTTGTATCACTCTGTAGGGTTTAGGAAAGGAATGTATTCTAATGAAATTCAAAGTCGGTAAAAAGATTTACTTCTCCCTGGCTAGAAAATCTTCAGATATCTGGATAACGGCTTCTTTGTACTGAGAAGGATCGTTTCTAAAGTACCGATATGTACGGGGTATCTTGAACCTGATTGAGGAAAAATATCACATTTTGATTTACAGTAAAGTCCAATACTAAGTTACTATACGGTTTCTAACAATGACTGATTACTAAGTTACTACCTATACTCTTAAGAGTAGGTCGAGGTTTGGTAAATTTTCAACTAACCTTGCCATGGCACCGGGTGAAGTTTTTCTAAGATCGTCAGCATTAAATACAGGACAGGATATCTCCGACTCGGATAAGTAGGTACCAAGAGGAGGGTCTACTTTCATAACATAAGGTAGAGCAAACAGTGCGTAGAAGTTAGCTGGTAGGTATCCGTACCTGCAAATTTAGTGGTCAGGGTTCTGGTTCTGGAGATTGTAACTCGTGTCCTTGCTAAGTTAATTTTAAGAACTATAAAATGCAAAAGCCATAAATCAGAGATAGGAAATCCCTTAGTGTTAAACTGATTGATCGTTGAAACTAAGTGTTGAACTAGTATATATACTATTATATATACTAGTATATAGTCAACATATATAGTCAACATATGAAATGTACCGAACAAGAGTAAGAGGTGATGTTATCTCGCGCTGTCCAGCCTCAATCCAACACATAACATACTGGAACACTTCTACTTCGTCCTCTACACACAACCTATTGAAACATTGACTGATTCATTATTTTATTGCTAACTTCATCACCTCATTATTTAATCAGTTGATTGTGCGACGTATATATTGATTTTGATATAACTTGATATTCGCAGATGCCAAAACCTTAAAAAGTAGATTCTGGACAAAACCTGCAACTCACTCCAACATTATCAAACCTATCATTTGAGATGATGTAACAAAACCTACAACTCACTCCAACATTATCAAACCTATCATTTGAGATGATGTAACTGAGAGTCTTAGCGGTGATGTGTAACCAGGTCTTGACCAGCGGCTGCGCTATTCTTGTTAGCGAATATTTCTTGTTGAACTTAAAGAGTTTGTTGCTACAAGCCTCTTGAAGCTCAGTGCACTCGTAGAATACTGCAAAGTCTAGATACTCCAAAACATTGGAATGGTTCAGATGATTCTGAGCAAAACTGAGGGGTAGAATTGTAATTAGTACCTATTAGTGGATTAGAAAACTGTTATTAGTAGATTAGAAAACTGTTAATAGTAGAAAGGTATAAAGCCCAACATTACAGGTTGTAGTACTAGTAAAACTTTTGTGTCAAGTTATTCGACAAATTTAAAATAGTGACATGATCTCATGATCTGCGAACTTACGTTTCAGTTTCTTCGACGAGCCACTTAACATTGTATATCTTAGCAAGTTTGAGAAGGCCGAGAACGTTATCTTGGTGCACGTGAGCATATCCGTAGTACAAACTCCTTAGAAAATCCTAACAAGAGATTTGATTAAGTTTGGAGAGACAAATTGTAAAATAAATTTAAAAGTCGAGCGGTTAATTTTGCTAAATCTGATACATTTGAAACACTTATTTACAAGGACCAAAATTTAAAAGCCAAACCTTAGCATCGTTGATATCGTTGCAGTGCGCACTCCAGTTCATAATACCGTTATCAGGGAGTAGTGGGTAGCAGCTCAGAAAGCGCGTCGCTCTGCGTCGCTAAAACTACTCTGTGCACGTGCACCGCGTCCCCCTGAATGAGCATATTAGTACACAATTAGTACACAATTAGTACACAATTAGTACACAACTAGTAAATAATTAGTACATAATTAGTACACAATTAGTACACAACTAGTAAATAATTAGTACATAATTAGTACATAATTAGTACATAATTAGTACATAATTAGTACATAATTAGTACATAATTAGTACATAATTAGTACACAATTAGTACATAATTAGTACACAATTAGTACATAATTAGTACACAATTAGTACATAATTAGTACATAATTAATACATAATTAGTACACAATTAGTACATAATTAGTACACAATTAGTAAATAATCGGTACATAATTAGTACATAATTAGTACATAATTATTACATAATTAGTACACAATTAGTACATAATTAGTACATAATTAGTACATAATTAGTACATAATTAGTACATAATTAGTACACAATTAGTACATAATTAGTACACAATTCGTACATAATTGGTACATAATTAATACATAATTAGTACACAATTAGTACATAATTAGTACACAATTAGTAAATAATCGGTACATAATTAGTACATAATTAGTACATAATTATTACATAATTAGTACATAATTAGTACACAATTAGTACATAATTAGTACATAATTAGTAATTAATTAGTACACAATTAGTACATAATTAGTACATAATTAGTACACAATTAGTACATAATTAGTACATAATTAGTACACAATTAGTAAACAATTAGTACATAATTAATACATAATTAGTACACAATTAGTACATAATTAGTACACAATTAGTAAATAATTAGTACATAATTAGTAAATAATCGGTACATAATTAGTACATAATTAGTACATAATTAGTACATAATTAGTACAATTTTATGCGTGCGATCAATATGCATCCGATGAAAGAATATTTGTATCCTTTAAATCAAATCCCGAACTATCGATTATTAAAATAGTGTGCCATGACAAAATAGACCAGAACGTTCAATAATTTTATTTCTACTAGAGGTCTGTGCATTCTTAGTAGTTACTGTCAGTGCCGATATGTTATATGATTATGACCACAGGGCACAGAATGCTAATATGGCGGTTCCGGTTCCTTCGAAACAAAGTTGAAAGTTAGGAACATTTTCTCGGCTATAATTTCTTTTATGAATTATTGTGCCAGATGTTTTGAATCGACAAAAATAAATGCACTAATGGTCGAAATAAAATTCATACCTGAACATTGACTTTAAGGTCGCTGAACTTAGGTTTGTTGAACTGAGACCGCAGGCCCTCCCACAAGAGGGTTGACCACTCTAGACTAGGGCGCCCCATGGGACCTGATGACGGAATTGTCACGTGACTTGCTGACGACAAGTGGTTGAGAAGGCGATGTTGTTACTATGGGGACCGGTCACTGCAGGAGTCCCGGTCTGGTGGATTGTTTGCGGAGGCGATTACGGGGCCTGCTCATAATCTTGACGGGATTGTGTGTTATTAGTTGTTATCAAGCAAAATAACGGAGTATGTAGTTAATGATTGTGTGTTATTAGTTGTCATCAAACAAAATAACGGAGTATGCAGTTAATGATTGTGTGTTATTAGTTGTCATCAAGCAAAATAATGGAGTATGCAGTTAATGATTGTGTGTTATTAGTTGTCATCAAACAAAATAACGGAGTATGCAGTTAATGATTGTGTATTATTAGTTGTCATCAAACAAAATAAAGGAGTATGCAGTTAATGATTGTGTGTTATTAGTTGTCATCAAGCAAAATAACGGAGTATGCAGTTAATGATTGTGTGTTATTAGTTGTCATCAGACAAAATAACGGAGTATGCAGTTAATGATTGTGTGTTATTAGTTGTCATCAAGCAAAATAACGGAGTATGCAGTTAATGATTGTGTGTTATTAGTTGTCATCAAGCAAAATAACGGAGTATGCAGTTAATGATTGTGTGTTATTAGTTGTTATCAAGCAAAATAACGGAGTATGCAGTTAATGATTGTGTGTTATTAGTTGTCATCAAGCAAAATAACGGAGTATGCAGTTAATGATTGTGTGTTATTAGTTGTCATCAAGCAAAATAACGGAGTATGCAGTTAATGATTGTGTGTTATTAGTTGTCATCAAGCAAAATAACGGAGTATGCAGTTAATGATTGTGTGTTATTAGTTGTCATCAAGCAAAATAACGGAGTATGCAGTTAATGAAATAAATGTAGAATGAAGTCAACCCTTTGAAGCCTTAAAAGATAAAGCTGTGTTAAAGGTGATCGCAAAAACGGGAAAATGTATAGAGTACAACTGCAAAATATTGAAATTAAATCAATAGAGTATATATTGAAAAATGCCGCATTATGTGATCATTGTGGAAGGAACGCGGGATCGTTGGAATAAAAATTCAGAGACTATTTACGACTAACTTATCAACGTTGTGATGTGATTTTATAGCTATAGTATAACTAAAGGGAGTCAAGAATCTTATTTCACAATCAGTAATCAATAAAAAGTGTTAAAAGAATGTAATGACTTATAATCCAAAGAGTATCACATAATGTATATCGTACACAGCGAATAGTACATTATACATTATTCTAAACTATACATTATATTTATATTCGGTGAATTGAAAATTTGACAGAGCTGATGTCCCATGTAGATTGTAGATGGCCGTATACCATAGATTAATCGATTAAAGAGCAGAGAGTGAAACATCAAACTGTATCAAAAAGAAGGCGAACCAAGCACTGATTTTTTTACCGCAGCAAAATAGTCCTTCCTCTGAATCACTGCGGCAGAGTCCGAGTACTATGTCATTTGATGGAGGTCTAATACCAAGTCCCAGGCCGAGAAAGGCCTAGGTCTACTTAACTCTACACCAAGACTCGGAACAAAATCGCTCAACAACCAAGACAACAATTTAATCGTACGTGAAAAATGCTAAAGAGTGGAACTAAGCACCCTAAAAGGCCCCACCGCTATGTGAGTTATGACTGAAATCAGATAGCATCCCTTATTTCATTAAAAAGTTGATGAAATAAGGTGAAAATGATCATAAACGTACCTTGTGGTTAAATCTCTAAGTCTAACCCAATCTTCGTGGAAAAAACTGTAAGTGCAATCCGTAAGAATTTCAAAATGTCCCAGCAGTTATGACAGCGGTAAGATTGGTAATTTTCAGGATGACAGATCAAACTTTCAAAAATTAACCCATGTGTCATAAGATTCAGTACATATTCTAGGTAGCTGTTCTTAAGCATAATCTTTTACGTTAGGAAAGAACAATGAGTGACTAGCACGGAACAATGACTGACTAGCACGGAACAATGACTGACTAGCACTGCTGTTATAAGCCAGTCTCAGGAAAAAATATCTGATATCTGAATCAACATCTCTAACTCTAAGCTTGCCCATTCTGTGATACCCACTAAAGTTTCAGCCCACAGCCGCAAAGAACATAGAATGTAGGGCCACCTAAAATTATTTGTAGTTATATTGTTGTGATGAAAGATTAAATTGTTCAGTAATTTATTCTATCAACACTACTATTTAACAAATAATCTGAGGTGACACTTCAGTCCATTTCTTTTCACAGCCTAATCTGGTACAATATTACAAAGCAGTTAGCCGAGAGAAACGTTGATTTTAGATTCGATCAGTGTCAGAAAATGGCAAGAGATTCCAACTTGTGGAAAAAGTACTAAAATGATTACTCAGTGTTTAATATTTAAAGTGACCTGACGTTGTGAGTTTGAGCTTTAATACCATTATAATATTGTTGTGAACTCGCTAATTATTCAATTAACAACTTCTCGGTTCTCTTTTAATCACAGTAAGAAATTCCAGGAACAGACGGCGGCGGAATCTACAAATCTAGTAATGCAAAACGAAAAACCAGACAAAGAACTGAGCTCCTCTACGTCTGCTCGTGCTAAACGCTAGACCTGTGGGCTCCGCATATCACATGCAAATATAACGAATATTGTCATGTTTTGTAAGATATCGTGATCTTTCGTTAATCGATTCAATCACGTAAACACCAAGTATTAAGTATTCCCAAACAAAACATATTCTCTCTGTAATATATTTAACCGAAAACGAATTATCAGCAAAACATTGACTTTTAAAATTAAGGCATATAATTGTGGGCAGTGTTTATATGCCAGAAATTAAAAAGCTTTAATAAATTTTATTCAAGTTTAATATCGAAATTTTTACCATAGTGAAAACATTGTAGAACAGAGGTATACTAAGCACAAGATGATACAGACAAACCTCCCAAGGTTGCTTCTTATTTTAGAGTAAATTTCGAGAGCAAGGACCGATTTATGTAACATAAATAATGCTTTTCTTAAAGAATCATTTAGAGACTAGGGTCGACCTGCAAATTACACTAATTCGTAACTTAATTTCTGAATGGCCATTATGATCACTAAAGTGAGATTATTGTATTTGTAACGCTACTTATATCCTCAATTACTTGTAGTTGTTTTAACCGGATACAATTAATGACTATTCGATCAAAGACTGTTTAGTCATGAAATCTATAACTTTTACAATTAAGTATCGTCTATTTCATTGTAATTGTAATTTGTTATGTATTTTGTGCATCTTACTCTACTCGCTTTTCCAAGGTAGGGGCGGTCGTTACGCCACTGTGCTTGAGGAAATATCAAAAAGGCTAGAAAATAATTAAGTTCTGTCCGAAAAATAGAAGTCCTTCAGAGGGTTTTGTTCAAGAAACAAAAGGGCAAAACGAAAGCATCAAGTTTTCGACCTGTCAAAAAAGCTCATATCTTGAAATCAGTAATAGGGTGGCAACACAGATTTATTATTAGTTGTGACGAAAATATAAAACTATTTGCACATTTTAATGCCAGTTTGAGCCGGTAAAACGAATTATTGCGGTAAATGAATATTTCACGATATCCCCAAATGTACAAATTTTCAGGTTGGTCACATATTTCCAATGGCGCATAATCATAATACTAGCTGAAAATCTCCAATATTTCAGAATATTTATCCAATTATAGGGTCGTGTAGAATGATTAATTGATTGTAAAATACTTCAATTAATATCCAATTTTACGATCATAATTGCACTATTATTTGTCAATGATACATGGTCGGGTGGGCTTCAATTATTTGAAACAAATATTAATATCCTCACAAGCACTAATAGAGTATATCAGGGTTGGACAGTCACAACACAACATGCAGTCTGGTTAACTGAATTATATTTTAGATGGGAATGTGAAATAAAACATGAAAGTTCAAAACATAAACAAATATTTTCTTCACGGTAATTTTACTCTCGAACTGATTTCTTAATTGGACTACTGTCTGAAGAAATAATCTAAGAATGTTCTTGAAAAAAAAAACGTACGAGGTTATTTTTAAACAGCAAGATATGGGCATAAAACAAAAGAATGTCATGATTATATGATATTGGGTGTTTTCCAAGTTTCGAATAGCAATATCCGTATCATAACAGACAGCTGTAACTGTAAGATTCCTAGCATTCTTAGGGGTCTTTCAGATATTACGTAATGAATTTAACCCCCAGCTCCCCCTCCGTAATCATTTTTGCACATAGTCATAGCTATTGTATCAAAATTACACTAGCGTAATCATTTGGAGACCCCCCCCTCCCCCTCGGCTGATTACGTAATATCCAATTCAGGCGTGCTTCACTCCACCTCACTCCAAGTTCATTCTGAACGGTAAATGGAATACTAATGACACTCACTTACAGCCTTACTGAGTGTTATAGCTTAATTAATGTACTTATCACTTTTACTATAAATAAATAACTTGGCAAGTATCCCAGTAATTGAGAGATCAGAGAAATAAGAGATTTGGATGAAATTAGTAAAATGCCATGATTTGTGTTATTAATTAATACACCACGGTAAGCGATGATTGACAAATGCTATAATTGGTGATTATACTCGTCAACGGCGATCTTTTTATATTTGCATCGCCTGCAAACTAAAATTAAAAACGTCTATAAATAATTAGTTTTAAGAGCATGAGCGCAAGAAATAGACTATTCTAAATTGCTGGACACCAAGAATGTGCTATCCTGCAAATCAACGAGATCGTTTATACATTAAATGTAGCATCCATTGTTCTTTTTAACTGTCGTACTCGCGTACCACGGCCCATCGATAAAATTGATAAATCTTTAAGTTTCTTGTCTAAATTCTAGACATTTTGGAGGGGATTATTTAAAACATGTAAGTGATACGAAGAGTTTGTTTTAGCAGGAGCTTTCAAAAAACATGTGTAAATCGTCTTCAGCTGTGAGCTGAGTACTTAGACATTTTAATGATCTGTAGGGAACATCACGGCTCTTGACAATGCGAACCAGTGCAAACTGGTAAAACAAAATGAAATAATCCCAACAATACGTTAATAACTCACGCCCGGCCTTGCGAGATCTATGCTAAATTTTAGAACAATTTTCTCATTA